TACCAGTCATGAATGTTTTTTTTTGTGCCATGAAACTGTATGTGGCATTACATTTATAGAAAAATATATTTTTTGTGGAAAAAAATATGGATAGGTCACTTTTAATGTACTGTACCACCTACCCTAAACCTAACCAATAGTGTTAACAAAAGCAAACATGAGATAAAAACGCATTTGGTGTGCCAGCATGCCATTTTAGTTTGAGCTCTTTTATTGTGACTCTTTTATCGTGACTTGTGCCCCACATCGCAAGTGCAGTGCTGAACCAAATGAGCAAGTTTATTATGTCAGAAAAGCCATACATATGTGATGCAAACATCAAAATATTAGTTTACAAATCATGCACTATGGCATAAGTGTTTTAAGGTCTTAACTTAATGTTGTGTAAGGAACCACATAAAAATAAGTCTTTATTAATCAATAATCTGTGCAGATGTGCCTGTAATCATAATTTGTTTAAAAATAAATAAGTTGTTGGTGTTTTACTTCCACTAGTATTCATTTCAACTGGAAACTGCAGTGAATTTTATGTATAGGTATGTTTTTAGAGTTTAGCAAAAATATACCAATGGGCCGGTGCTGGTCGAAACTGTTTGTCTTTTGATTTAATCTAGAGAATAGATCCAAGAAAGGCAGACTATCAGTCTAACACTTTGATAATTATTTGCAGCTCCTAATAAATGCACTGTTCAGCTAGCCTTAAAATTTTTTCTTTTCCACTTGCGTTCATTGCTTGTCAAATTTTGAATCCCTTATGCAGCACATCCATACGCTGACTTCTCATTTATCACAGTTACAGTATAACACATTGGGCTGAATCTCTGTGAAAGTGTGCGTGGGAGAGGGTGTAAAGGGGCAGTCTGCTCAGCCTTTGCACACCATAGTTTTAAACTTCTCAATGAACTTCCTTCACTCTTATGCCCTCACACACACACACACACACACACACACACACACACACACTTCAGAGAGTGTCATATTCCACCTGCTTTGTTAGTATGGAAGATCTAGAGGAGCTGACAGGACAGTTTTGCCTCTCGCTCTCTCTCTTTCACTTCTGTAGGGCTACAAAACAGAGGAAAAAAGTGAGTAGCAGCTTTGTCTGTGTGAAAGAGCAAATGCATTTGTTGTCATTTCCACTGTGACAGTTACTAACCCATGAAGCATGTGAGTTTTGATGTTCGTCATGTAATATGATCAGCCAAATTTGAATGTGCAGCCATATTTAAACGTTTATGTGACTTGTGATAGGGTTTCAGTTAATTTTTTGCTCTGTTGTAAAAGAATGCAGTTGTGTTTGTTTTATAGCATGTAGCGTAGTACTTTGGGATACAGTTTTGAGCATCTGTGTGATCACATGTAGTTTTGAAAATTAAATTTGTGCATTATTTTTCAAGCAAATCATCACAGTATGTTAAGAAGTAGATAAATCATAAACATTTTGTGTTAATGTTTGAGTTGTAAGGATGCAGTTTGTGTGTGTTGGTGTTTGCCAGTGTTCACTATAATGTTAAACACAGATGTCGAGAGTGAGCTTATATCTGTTTACCGTTTGGCATCAGAATGACTGGATGGGGTTACCAGCCAGAAAGAGAGAGAGAAAGTGTGTGTGTGTGTGTGTACTGTGTGTGCATGTGTATTTGCTATTTGCAGCACTCAAAGATGATATACTTCTGAAATAAACCCTGTACCCTGCCTGCAATGAGGTTTAAGAGGTTACAGCTAGATGTCAAACTCTGTCTGGACAAACTGGAATTTTTTGGTAAGGGTTTTATATGCATTTTGGATCACAGACATTATACTCTGCAGTTACAGACTTTAATTCAAAACCCAACGTCTTACTTGAAGTCCTGGGCCAAAATCAATTTTCCAATATTTAGGCTGTTAAACCAGATGTGTTTATCATTGCTGTGCCATCTGGACATTATTTTACTGGGATTCATTATAGAAAAAACTCTGCACATGCATGCGTACTGATCAAGGAGAAGATTTGGGCTGGCAGAGTTGTGGCATTAAAGCTGGGAGGTTAAAAAGGCTAAAGGCTTTATTAAAAGTACTGACAGTTTTCACGCTGGTCTCTCTACACTTTAAAATCTGCAGTGCATTCAAATTCTTTCTTTCTTTCTTTATATATAAAGCACAAGTGATCGCTTGTCATTCAGGGAATGTACAAGGCCATCAGCACAGCTTAATGGTGGCTTTAAACAGATCTCTCTTTCACTGTTATTAACTTGTTTGTGTCCCATGAACATCTCATTCAGTGGGTTTATTTTGTTGCTTATGGCACTGCCAAGCTTTTCTTTTATATTGCATTAATAATTTCTCTCAAGTCTCGAGTCTCTTAAGTGGTTCACGCAAATTTAACCATCATGAATAAAGTCATGGTAAGAACTGAATAGGATGTTGTAATGGTTTGTTGTTTATTGTAGGTACTCCATTTTCTGTTAAGCCCCATTCCCGAATCCCAGGACAAACCTATTTCATTCAAGTGCCTCTTAACCTTCAGTCTTTGTTGTTGTTCTGTACAAGCGAATGCAGCAAGCAATTTTTTTTTTTTACATTTAAAAATTCATGTATTTGCTAGAGAAAAAAGTATGGGCTCCATGTTTCTACATTAGTTTCTTTATGATAACCAGATACAGTCCATTGTAAGTACATTACTGTATACATTTAGCTAGTTATAAACTATTTTTTTAAATACCACAACAAAAATAATTTTCTATTACAATCACTTGACTTAACTATTTTAATTAACTATTTGAAAAGTTAAATATTAAGTAAACATCGCTTTAAAAGTAAAAAACCAGGAATAAAACAAAATTACAAGCGATTGCTTTTCATTATATCTGTAGTGGGAGTGGTTAAAAATGTCATAACTGCTTATTCGCTAAACTTAGTGTGTAAATTTGCATTAATAATCTGCCTATTATTATTATTATTTTATACCTACCATTATTAACATCACATTATATGCAAGTTTACTGTAAAAAAAAAAATTTAGTTTTTTTTTTTTTTTTTAGATTTAGGGTTTTTGTATGTAAAAGCTAAACATTACTGTATAATTGATGGTGAAAAACAGTAAAAGGGCATTCTCAGAAGTCCCAGCGTGACACATAACATTTTATTTTATATAAAAGTTTTTGAATTTTTTAAATATTTGTTAACAGTAATGCACATTAAGGTGTTTTGTGTTACATTTGATGTTATTTAGTTATTATTTATTGCATTATTCTAGTGACATGTGTTGGTGTTTTGTCTTTGTGTGTAATACCCTGTCCACCATTTACCATGTTTTAGGCCAATTACAGTGACCTCTAATTCTTTATATGGCTTTTTTATTTTACCAGCTGTATTTGATGGTTATCGGTACATTTTAAAGTAAAAAGCACATTTTGGTAATTCATAATACCTGAAACATTGTCATCATATTTATTATGATGAATTTCTGGAAACCACAGTTGGATTTATTTATTTTTTACCATAAATGTAACAGGACATTTTTTAAATACCGTGTCAGTTGCTGTTTTCAATTGACGTAACCTGGAAAAGTATTTTGCACCACTAGTGTCTCCTATTTCCAAATTTAGGCCCCTCTGATGACCTTCTGCCTGAAACGGGTATATGAGTATATGAGTTTTGGGCGCTGTTACCTTGGCATCAGTTGCTTAGCAACCCCTGGTCAAGTCCTGAATCAGTTCCAGACGTTCTGTCAGAGAGACAGAGGAGTTTTGACCCCTGAATGAGACATTTCAAACTTCATACCCTCACAGAGCACACAAACACAATGTCAAATCTGGTTGGTGAACCGATTGCATTTAACCACTCTCCAGTCATCCCAGTTGGTTCCCATGGCGACGGGATGCTTATGATTTACAATGTGAATTCATGTGCTTTAGAGGATCTCTCTTCAATGATTTACAGAAAGACCGAGAACGAAAATGTTCAAATTCTGTATTTAAAATGCCTTAGCTGTGTTTGAAGTTTTGACAAAGACATTTTCCTTCTGCTGCATTTTGTTCTTAGTTAAAAATGTCATTCCTCCCTCTCACTCTCTTTTAACTTGTTTTTGTCTCTCTGTCTGGGAAACAAAACATTTCATCCATTCAACATCGATCTGTTAAACTCAGCATGCAGAAGAGCCCCAGAAACAGGGAGCATTTTTCACTCAAATTGCTATGCTGAGAACATAATTTGTACCAAAAACATTGTACAAAATAAAAAAGAAGCATTTTTTCCTAGTGGTCTCAGACTTTGACCCCACTTTATGTAGAGAAACGGTCTTTATATAATGCTGTAATGCTTTTACAGCTTAAGGGTTTGAGAAAACCTAACGAGAGAATGATAAAAAAGGAAACCAGACATATTAGCACTAAGCACTTTAGTGATTTTGTCACTCACAATCACAAAATCAATATTTTTCAAGTAAGTGTGTGTGGAAGTGTCTTAAGTCGCTGACAACTGAAGAATCTTATCACGCTCATCTGAAGGATGTTGATCTTTGACACTGTGGCACCTGCCGAACAAATTCTCTGTCGGTGCTGAAATTAAAATTGAGTGATGGATGATCAGAGGACATGAGGGATAACATCTTCAGAGAGAGAGAGAGAAAAAACACATTTCCCTTGCAGAATAAAGCCGGTGATTTAGTTTTATAAGATTATGCTCACTTTAATTAGGTAAAGAAGCTTTCTAAGCATTGAAATCTATCCTGAAGGTATTATAACAAGCATCCAGTGGCTGAGCCTCTATTCTGTCATTGATTTGTGTGTTAAATGCAGTTCCTTCTGTAGTGAGTGGTGTGATATTTCAGCCAGATTAGAGGTGAGATACACTGCAGCTTATACCAGAGGTCATTCAAGCTGAACTTTAGACATTTATTTAGCTAAAATGTGAATTTCCAACCAAATGGAGCGATCGTAATGAAACCAGAAGAGTGAATCCTGCTCAAACACACAATGGTTATAAATCTAATGTTATGTGTCTCTGTGTTTCTCTTTCAGATGCACCGGCGCAAAGACAGAAAGCTTTGACAGAGCTTGGTCAAAAAGATGACGTTGCTGTTCACGAGACATCATTAGATAAAGGTAAGAATAGTATACACGCTGAAAAGCATGTAAGGAAGTCCAGATAAGCACAAATACTCTCGCACCACTAAAATGCACCACTGACTAGTGGAATGAAAATGAGTGTGTGTGTCAGATTGAAACTCCGAGTGATCTATGAGGCTTCGCCTGAGAGATAGTGGAGAATTTTCCTGAGCCAGAAGATGAATGAACACACACACACACTAGTCTCAACATCAGGCTGCACATTTAAAGGAATAGAGGTTTTTGCAAAATCATAAGCTCCAATCTGATTGTTTGGCTTGGTCTGGGAATTCATTCACATTTTCACATGACATCACACCCTTGCAGGAACACCCACATGGAAGACAAAACAAGGCTTTCTGCCACTGACCACCAGTTCTTTTACGAGGTTTGCATTAGTAATGTAGTAAAACAGTGATATTTAAAGGCCAAATTCAGTATACACCTTATTGATGATGCAAAGTTTCACATTGAATGTTTTTTTTTCCATAGAAAACCATTATAAAGAAAACACTTAACCATTTAGCACATTGCGTTCATATTCCGGGCTCATCTGCTTGCCTGTATAAAGTACGCATCATCAATAAGGTGTTTACTGAATTTGATCTTTTAATATGACTGTTTTAAAGGCACTTTAATGTTTATACATTAAATGGTTTAGAATGTCTGAAATATTGTGGCGGGTGTTTTATATGTATTTCAAATGGCCAAAACTTGCATTTTGTTCACATATCTTAGTTTTATTCTTTTGAGAGGTGATCTAAATATTTATGGATTGGAAACGGATGGAAAATTGACAGGCTTGTGCTGTAGTTCTATGGATGTTTTGCCCGCCAGGTCTTCGAGCCAGTCATGTGACTGAAAATTATGAATTGGGATACACATTTTAGTCACACTTTATTTTAAGGTCCAAATCTCGTTATTAATTTACTATTAACTATGACTTTTGCCTTATTAAACTTCTAATTACTGCTTAGTAAGGTAGTTGTTAAGTTTAGGTATTGGGTAGGATTAGGGATGTAGAATATGGTCATGCAAAATATGTGCTTTATAAGTACTAATAAATTGCCAACATGCTAGTAATATGCATGCGTATAAGCAACTAGTTAATAGTGAGAATTGGTCCCTATTGTGTTACCCACACTTTTTACAATACTGTTCAAACGTTTGGGGGCAGTAAGATTTTATAAATGTTTTTGAAAGAAGTATCTTATGTTCACCAAGGCTGCATTTGTTTGATCTAAAATATAGTAAAAACAGTTAGTGTGAAATAATATTTTGATTTAAAATAACTGTTCTATTTTAATATATTTGAAAATGTAATTTATTTTTGTAATGATGAAGCTGAATATTCAGCAGCCATTATTCCAGTCTTCAGTGATCCTTCAGAAATCATTCTAATATGCTGATTTGGTGCATTTTTTCTTATTGTTATTCTTATTATCAGGTTTGAAAACAGTTGTGCTGGTTAATATTTTTTTCCTAAAAAGTGTTTTTTCAGAATTCTTTGATAGAAAGTTTCAGAAAGTTTAAAAGAACGGCATTTCTTGCAAATATAACTTTTTTGTAACAGTGTAAGTCTTTGTCACTTTTGATCAATTTAATAGATCCTTCCTGAATAAAAGTATTCATTTCTTCTAGGGCTGAATGATTAATTGCATTTGTGATAATATCGCGATATGAAAAAACGTCTCAGGTTACTTATGTAACCATGGTTCCCTGAGTAGGGAACGAGACACTGCGTCCTCTAGGGGTCGCTATGGGGGGGACGTCATGGCTGTCGCCGGCCAACGAGTTGGTGTTTTTTCAATGTATGCTTCAGACACGGGTCACGACGAGGCGTCTCCCCCCCATAGCGACCCCTAGAGGACGCAGTTCGAAGTTCCCATGAAAGGGAAAGTGATTTTTCAATCGCAGAGGCTGCAATTACACTCGGTCACTTGACACGTGAGAGTAAAGAGGTGTGTTCGACTTGAAGATCGATCGGTTTATGACATCAAAGTAAGGCGAGGGAAAGCATAAGGAGACATCCGCTCTCTTATGAAGCATCAAGTTGGCACGCTACAGTGTTGCCAAGTCCGCGGTTTGGGGAACCCCTCCAAAAAACGTGTATTTTACTCCCTGGAACGCGGAAATTTTTAGCGGTGGACCCCCCTCGAAACGCGATTGGGCTAGTTTTGAGTAGAATTAGGCGGGTTTTGTTGTGAAAACCTGGCAACCCTGGCACGCTACAAGCGGAAATGTTTGAAAGCGTATGAACGTACTTCAAGCTCACATGAAAAGATATAATAAAATATTTACAAAAATGTGAGGGGTGTACTCACTTCTGTGAGATACTGTATATAATAAGGTAATATATATATTTTTATTTATTTATTTAAAGTCTGTCTACTCTAAAGTTAACAGACAGTGTTTAAAAAGTGCAGTCCACATGTTTACATATGTTTATTACAGTGACTTTGAATTACCTAAAGTAGTGTGGTAAAGCAACAGATTTGTTTTTATATTTCTGCAATCTACTTTAGTTTGTGTGATTTGTTACTGACTTTCATATTAATGTTTACACCGGGCTTATTTGTCAGCGCTTTATGTTGTCATAATTATTACATGCTTAGGTTGGAAGTTCAACAAATCAGTCAATATACTGTGATTGTAGTTGTTAAATAAAAATGTCATTCATATCAATTCATGCGTCACCTAATTTCATTTGTTTAATCTAATATTGTGTTGGTCATACTATACAATGATTTTTAGCTTGTCTTTGTTGAATAATACAGAACATAAAGAGCTTTAAAAATAATTGCTTATTAAATCGCAATCGCAATATTGGTAAAAAAAAAAATCGCAATTAGATTATTTTCCAAAATCGTTCAGCCCTAATTTCTTCCAAACAAACAAACCCCAAACTTTTGAACAGTAGTGTATATTTACTAGGAAAGCTCTTTACTAGTTACCTCTTTGTAGCAATGAGTGCTTCTGTGGAAGAACTGGTTAGTGGAGTTGTGAGCTGTGAGATTTTCTAGTAATTTCATCATTGTCTATACAACTTTTATGGGAACTGCTGTGCATTTGAACGAGCTGCCAGTTTGTTTTCTTGGGAGCTTGTTTGTTTGTTTTTTGGAGGGGTTGGGGGGGGACTTTTTTGCCTTTATTTTTACATGACAGTGGAAAGTACATGACATGACCCAGACTGAACCTAATTCCCTGTGAGCCGACAACCCTTATACATGCTGAGCGTGCGCACAGCTCTGATGCCTTGTTACTGTGGTTTTACAGCTTTACAGCATGTAAAATCAACTAAAAAGGTGTGGTTGGTGACTTTATGCATCAGTCAGACAACCTTTACCTATTTAAATGGTTCTTGGCCAGAATAAGATGCCATGTGGACCTGGCATTATGCTAGTGGTCCAGTCTGGCTATGCAAGACCGCACACGTTCACTCTCAGCCCTTCATCCTGTTTGCAATAAGTAATTTTTTCCTATCCTATCAAACAGGGAGAAGAAAGGAGAAAGAGATGGAGTGGTAGAGAGACAACAGATTGACTTACTTTTATAAATCAAAGGTTATACATTATGAATTAGTTGATTCATCATCTCCACAGAGGGATTGACTATGGCTGCAGTTCTTAAACAAACCTCTCCTCTTTTATCACTCATTTATTCTCTTCGTTTTTTCATTTGGTTCATATCATCAACTTATGTTGGGTCTTGTGCGTTTGTTTATTATACTTCATAGTGTAAATGCTGCTGTTTCTTTGACTCAAAGACTAGAGTAATGAGCTGTCAGAAGATGATGGCAGCCTGCATTTGTTTGTCTTTGGCTACGGTGTGCTTCGCACAGCAGTTAGCCACACTTTACTTTGCTTTGTGCAAGTGGGATTGTATGTTTGTATGTGTGTGTGTAATGTGTGTGAACTATGTTGACAGGTGTAGCGTGTGTGTGTGTGTGTGTGTTGACAAACCATCCTGAGGGATCTGTAAAATTTAGCCCAGTGTTGAAAAGCAGCACAGCTGCAATCAGGCCAACAGATTTTGTGTGAGTATAAGTTTTGGTTTGTGAATACCTGAGTGAATGTGAGTCTGTGTGTACATGTGACCCAGTGAGCTTTACAGCATTTGGGGTATTTCATGCCCAAAAATGCTGTTTTGGACTGGGACTGGGTCCCTTGCACACTTTTGAGACCCAGCCATTTGTGCAGGCAGCTCAACTTATACAGCATGATGCTGTGTATAAATATATAAATGAAAATGGCTGGCAAATGGTCAGACTACTACAAATCTGCCTGCCTTTTTTGGTAAGAGACATTTATAAACTAGCATATGGGTTCAGTAAGATTTTTAAAGAAATTAATTATTTTATTCAGCAAGAATGCATTAAAATAATCAAAACGAAAGTAAAGACAATTGTAATGTTACAAAAGATTTCTGTTCCAAATAAATGCTGTCCTTTGAAACTTTTATCCATCAAAGATTCCTGGAAAAAATGTATCACATTTTCCACAAAAACGTTAATATTAATATACTATTACTGTTTTAATATTACTATATAAACTGTTTTCATAATTGATAATAAGAAATGTGTCTTGTAATAATATTTAGCAATATTACAGTTTCTACTGTATTGTTGATCAAATAAATGTAGCCATGGTGAGCATAGGAGACTTCTTTCAAAAAATAAATAAATAAAAAATTCGTACATACCCTTAACTGTTAAATGGTAGTGTGTGCATCAAAAGCAACTGTACCATTATTAGGCTTATGATGTTAACATAGTATCATAATATTTAATAAAAAAAAAAAAAAGTTTATTATGGAGGTGTTTGTAACACATGTAAAAATTTATATGAACCCACTGTATCTCCAGTAAGAACACACATTAAACTGATATTTTTTATTGCTTTGATAATTTTATATTACTCAATAGGTATAATTTTTGAATGATATTAGTTGTTTTAGCTTTTTGGAATATGTGTGTTTACATTATAATTATCTGATAA